CCCCCACCCCGACTGGCCCCTCCTCTCACAAATTTCACCTGCCCTTTCCCTTCCTTCCCCTCCATTTTGGTCTTTCCCTCGATTTCCTTCTCACCCCCCTTTCACGCCCGCCCCCGCCCCTCCCCCCCCTGCCCGCCCCCCCAAATCTTTGTTTAGGTTGAGCACCCCGAACAACTAGAAACACACTCAAGCACGCAGTGCAGTGGCACTCGTTCCTTCCCATTTTCATCCATTCATTCCTCCGCTTCCGAATCCCTTCCTGGCACCTCTGCTCCCCTGCCTCTTCTGTGCTTTTTGTTCCTCTCTTCCCGATCTTTCTCTCTTGCGCAAAACACAAACTTGCACTCGCCTCACAGGCCCCCGGCCCCCCTACTAATCCTCCTCCCTGCAGCCCAAAAGTTAGGTGACATGCGGGCTTTTTGGCCACAATTTCCACCCCCACCCCGGCTGGCCCGTTCCTTCCATCTTCATCCATTCATTCCTCCGCTTCCCTCGCCACTGTGGGGAGGAGGCGGGCTGCGTAGCGTTAGAATCATCCCCCCCCCCCCACAAAATACATGTACAAAGGGCGTGGGGATGCTTAGCGTTACGCGTCTCTGCAGGCGTGCAAGTGTGCACAAGTGTGCGCTCTAACTTAGCGGTTCCCGTTTCCCCCTGCAATGTGATGCCGCTATTGCGACAAGGACATGAGCACCGCATGATCAAGCAAAGCCTGCGGCAAATTCAGCCGCCGCGCCACTGGCCCGGTGACCTTCCCACTCGCCATTCGCGAGCTTCGCATGCAAAATGCATACATCCAAGGACCGCACGTCACGCAGCCACGGCTCCCAATTGGGCTTACCTCTCCAGTCAAGAGTGCAAGCACATGATCAAAGGCATGTGAGGTTCTGCCATATATGTATATCTGCTCATATATGCACATACACATTATATACATACATATATAATCATATATACATAAATACATACACACACATACATACATGCATGCTTACATGCATACATACATACATACATACATGCATGCATACATACATACATACATACATAATTACATACATATATACCTACATATGTATATATATATATATATGTACCACTCTTATTTGCACTTGTGCTTACGTCGGGGCGTACTGGTTACTGGTACTTGTGTCAGATCTTCAAGCCACGAAGCATCATTACAAGATATGAGGTCTTAAGGTCCTAGGAATGTATTCGTAGTGCAACATGCTCAGCAGTGCAAGAGTGGTTACCATACTCGTCATGGTACCACGTGCGGGTCGGTGTTTTGGTACTTGGGGTCGAAGCCCAACAAAGCATGTTGTTCACCACGTTCAGCCAAGCTTCATTCAACATGCCACCGAGACCCACGTCCCTCCACAGCCTTTCATACACTTTGTCAGTGTAGATGTATGCGTGTTTGCATGTATGTATGTATTCACGCATGTATGTAATATGGGTACATATGCATACATACATACATAC